TGGGATCACAGCGACATCGCTACAATAACTTTCGGGGGGCAAGAAACACCAGCATACAGACATAATTGGACAAATTGTAAAGAGTTTATCCATTTTATCAAAACCTGGTTTGTGGAGGTTAAAGTTAACGCAGTAATAATTTTCCATTGCAAGAGAAAACTGTACAAGTACAGGAGGTCAAAACCATTAATTTGTCATGCATATGGTGATTGACCTTTTAGTGGATAATGTGGGCAAGTTATTCCAAGTAAGTTTGGCTTTTTAGTGCTTACGGCCTTGCTTTTTATTTTGGCGCCCATGTTAATACATTAGAGCGGTCACATTCTCGGCTGCAGCATCTCTTCACTAGAGAGTTCAGTTTTTCGCCTATTTTTTCCAACGAGCAAACACCTTTCTCTACAGTTCAATGTCTATATCTGTAGAATATGTCAAACTTGGAAAAAGAAAAATTATCACTTTTATCTGTTTCAGATTAAAAGCTCTTTGCATTTCTGTGGACAGAATCCATTCATATGTTAACAGGGAATGTATTGTATGGTATTTATCAAAGGTAAATTCAGTATAGAAAGAACTAGAACATGTCCTCAATAATATTCACCACCTACACATTCCTGACACTTTCTTTTAGAAGGAACATTAATGTGCTCATTCTATTTACATAATTCTCATGTACTGCAGAATAAAAGTGGGTTCTGCCAGATATGTTCCCAAAACTTTCCTTTGGAAAAGCTTACACAACATATTGAAATTTGTCCACTTGGATATATTAGACACCCAACACCAACCTTTGTAATTCTTTTGTATGTTTCTGAATGGCTGGCAGTTTCAAAAGGTGGGTTGCCGACCAAGCATTCGTAGCAGAGGACCCCGATGCACCACAGGTCCACCTTCTCACTGTGTGTGTGGCCCTCAATCATCTCTGGAGGGAGGTAGTCCAGTGTCCCGCACATTGTACGTCGTCTGGATAGGTTTAAAACACAGATGTGAGCACGGAAAGCAGATTCATGATATGAAATGATACAGCATTATCCAGCAGGTTCTGACAAAACCTTAATAGCACTGTGGTTCCTCACCTTAGAGAAGGTGCATGGACGGACCAACCAAAATCGGCAATTTTCAGCTCTCCACGATAGCCCAGAAGCAGATTCTCTGGCTTGATGTCACGGTGAATGACTTTCTTCTCATGGCAATAGAGCAGTGCATCGGATATCTCCTCCATGTACTGGGAAATGTAAAGAGGTTGACATTGGATCACAACAAGAAAGATCAAGGTTCACTGACTAAAACAATAATAGCACAAATAAAAAGCTCTGCATTTTAAAAGCAGCAACAACTCTTACTGTGGCAGTACGCTGGTCATCAAATCTTCCACATCTCTGTAGCTCCTTGTACATTTCACCACGTGGGGCGTACTCAAGTACCAAGAACACCCTCTTTCGGTCATGAAAATAATTGTAGAAGCGCAAGATGTTGGGGTGCCTGAGGAGAAAATAGATTATATATTTTGAGGCAGTGTTTAGACTGCATTTTCAAATGAACAAAATTCTTATCTGGGCAAGTTGAGTAGATGTGTTTATCTAGTATCCACCTGATACACTATCCATTTTTAATACCATAGTAAATGTTTAGAATATTGCGAAGTCTGCCAAAAACTTTTTACCCAGTTACCATAATACAAAAGTTTATAGGAAGGATAAAAATGATGTTCCAAAGTTGTATTGAAGGTTGTGTTTTCCAGATCAAAATATGCACAAAAGGTTCAGGACAAACAAAACCTTTTCCATTAACTCAAAGCGCATCGAACCTATAAACAATTCGTGTGAGTGTTTGATTTCTGTAATGGTCAGTAGATAGTAGCAAATAGCCTGTGAGGGAGTTATACTCAGAAGTTGAACTGAGGGATGTTTTGCGCAGAATTAAATTCATCAAGTGGCCCTAACTACCCAGTTAGTTTGAGGAAAGTCAGTGTATTGTTGGGATTATTAATGCGTTTGTCAGCATACTCACTTGAGATGTGCCTGAATCTCAATCTCCCTCCTGAGCTGATGCTCCACACCCTCCTTTTCCATTTGTGACTTGAACAACACCTTCAGCGCTACGATGGCTTGCAGCTTCTTAACCCTCGCAAGGTAGACATTACCAAACTTGCCCTTCCCTAGTGGTCGTCCAATGTCAAAGTCATCAATGGTGACCTTCCTGAGGGAGAGCACAAAGGTGGATATTCCCATGTTAACTATTCAAATAGTAGAGGCCATGACTTAGATGTTGAGAAAAAACAGAGCCTGAAACCAATACACAACTCAAGACATACTGGAATATACTTACTTTGAGGCTGAACTGGAGGACGAGGCAACACACTCCCTTCCAGGACCTAAAAAGGATTAAAACAATAATAAATACAGTGCCATTTCCAGAGGTTTCTGACTGTTGTATGTATATGAGGACGGTACCGTTACCTGTGATGGCATTTCTGTCCATCTCTGCTCGTGGCTTCACTTGAACACGCTGTGGGTTTGCCACCATGCTCGGAGTGGTGAACTGGTATTCAGAATCAAACACACAGACTTAGAAATGCATTGATGTGTTTTTTTTTTTATTCTTTTGAACCAATATTGGTGTCCAATATTTTCATACCCAAATCAGCCAACTCTGGCATTCTGATTAATGTTGCCTTACCGTTCGTTGGAAACTTTTGGGCTCATAATTTTCCTTATTCTGTAGAGAAAGAAATAGAATAAAACAGTACATTAACATGTAGTACATTTGAACAGCTGTGTTTTTTTCTTCTGTTTGTTATCTTAGACAATACTTAAAGAGTAGTTTGCAAAATAAAACTGAATGTGTGTCATGTGGAGGCTTTTCGGGATTAACTGGTGCAGAGACAATTTTGTGACACCATACTTCAACCAGAACAATGACAGACAACTGAGTGAGCAGTGTCAAGACTCAACTGGTTTCCACCTTTACTTTGACTTTCACTTGAATGTGCCAGTAGTTGTTGGTTATAACATGACATTTTGGGGGTATTTGTGGCATCTTAACTTCTTTAAGAGCTATCTCACAGCTTCCAAAAGGCCTATATAATTAAAGACATATTGGATTAGATCAACAGCAATCCTAGTCCCAATCGACCTGCACTGTTGTACTACAAAGACCAGTGTTCCTTTAGCTCTGGTATTTCAATGTACAATTTCAGCACCATATTTAAAAACAATAGTCTGCTATGTATGTTTTAGCACCCTGTGAAAGTTAAATTAACCACACCTTAACACCACAAGATTGTCATATTTTAAATTAGCCTTGAGGAGCTTCCTGTGCGCTCAGTTAGCATGTTTAGCTTATTCTCCATTTAGAAATGATAAAAGGTTCAGTAACGCAAGGCAAGGTAACACAGGGACATAACTACTACCCCACAGGTCACCTTGGTTTAAATAACACCTGCTAATGTATAACATTGTGTTGAATACGTGTGTTATACAGCTCGTTACTATTTTAAGATAACGCGGCGTTGTGCTAAGAGCTCAGAGTTAGCAAAACCAACGTTAACGTTAGCCTGTTAGGTCAATATAATACGCGCTTCAGATGAATCCTCCGCTGTACTCATCCGTCTTATTGCACTATCAAACATTATCAAACCAAACGTACCTGCATCGTGGTGAGGAACTGTAGTATGAATGTTTTAGCGAAGAAAGTCCAGTGTTTCTATTTTGAACTTCCGCGGCCGCCAACGTTTTCAAAAAGCTACCCTTCACGGATCTGATTGGTCGGCACGCTACTCACCGAAGGCTCCCATTGGCTAGAATTGTTGCAAGAGGACGCGTGTGATTGGTGTACATCCACGCTAGTCAAACTTAGACCCGCCCATTTTCTTCTTGCTCCTCCTCCTCCTTTTTATTTTGATTCTTCTTCTTCTTCTTCTTCTTCTTCTTCTTCTTCTTCTTCTTCTTCTTTTTCTAGGTTTAACAAACGGCAACTTACATCCTTGGTGTTGCATTACTGCCATCTTCAGATTCAGGTTCATAACAATAAACATAGGATGTGCCAGATGACTTTACACAGTGTTAATGTATAGTGTTAGAGGGTGGGGTGGGAGTATAAGAGTCAATATCAGTGGGCAGACCAGCCCTTGTTGATGAGGCCAGCTGCAGATAAGAAGAAACAGTCCTGGTGGAGTGAGGTTTTGGTCCTGGTGGACTGTAATAGAGGAGCTGAGGATGGACTTAATGATGGCTGTGGTCAGCTTCTGGAGTTAGTTCACTCCTACATTGTCCAGACTGTCAGATTCTCCATGGCAATCCTGTTCTCTTATGTAACCCTCACATACTGCTCAGGTCATGTTTGACCCGTTCATTTGTCAGCAGTAAAAATACCCTAAATGTTATTCTTGTGTCTGGCTGTTCCAGGTCAAATTTGACCCATATCTATTACATTTATATCCAGTGTGGGTCAGATCAAGGAAAATAGTGTTTTTAGGGAATCTTGAAACTGTGAAACTGTATATGCAATGTCTGTTTATATTTGTTATGGGACAGTAGTGACAGAGTTCAAAGGGGACCTTGACACTGTCACAATAACTCCCTGCATTTCCATCTTCAAATAGCTTTTTCAGTTTAATAAACAGCCATATTTACAATGATATGAAGTAAATAAAAGTAGAAAATCCTCCCAGAGAATTAATGGAATTTTTCTTTGAAAATGAGCTGAAATGGTGAACTAACCATCCACTTTGGCTGTGATTATTTTTTTTGTGGATCAATTATTTGATTAATGAGCTAATTGTTTTAATGCTGACGACATCCTTTTGTTGCAGATCAGATGTGTGAATAAGATAAACTAAAGCGAAGCATTTAACATAGTTAAATATATAACTTTCCCCAATTCAGAAGCAGAAAATGCTGTTACGTTGTTTTTTTAAATGATTCAAGTTAATGATGATAAAGATAATTACATTTTCAAAAGAACAATATAAGTAACTAACAAAGACAATGATACATCAAAAGTAATTTTTTCAAAATAAGTTTATTCAAAACAACTGCTCTTTTAAAAGAAGGTTGGTTTAAATGCACCACAGTTCATGTCATTGACAGGTCTTCCATGTTTCTTTATTAATACAATAAACAGACATCTACAATTATTTCTTATTTCATCATTTCTAAAAATCATATATGAAAAAATTGGGAAAGAAACAGGCGACTTGATAAAGACTAATTCTTCTGTAACACCAAAACCAAAACACCTGCTTGTAACAGATATATTTTCTGAATGTATACATTGTTGAAAAGGAGGGAAGAAACAGGAAACAGGTGGATCACTGCCAGAAGTATGTTTCAGTTTTCTGCCTTTGTAGCCGACACCTGCTTATGTCTTTACAGTCCAGAAGTGACAGTTCAATGTTTCGTCTTATATTGTGACTGACTTTAAAAGAGTATGCTGAAAATGTGTTGATTTCTGTGAGCATTCATGAGAGCAATCAAGTATGAAGCCAAGATATTAAAGCAGTTGGACGATATGACAATATATACCATGAGCAAGATATATACTGGCAAGATGATGTTTTCAATAATGTGAAAACCAAGCTCCATTAAAAGAAAGATTTTATTGAAGTTCAAGAGAAAATATCCTGTCAAAACCAAAATTAAAGACATATATGCATATTAAACAAAGGTATGGCCACGTAACAACAATATGTAACATTATGCTTATCTAGAGGCCAAAATCTTCAGTTGCACAGTAGAGAACTGGTATTTCTCCTCTGGCAGGCTATCTAATCACAGCTTACACTTATTAACAGTACTAAACAGTAGATGTTTGGTCAGTGATGTTTTCCTTTTGTTGACGTAAATGTTTGAATATCTGATTGTGAAAATGTACTGAATTGCTTCTCTCTATTTTTGGACTTTCTCTAAAATTGTTTTATGTATTGTTAAAAATGTGTATGCAGCCCCCACAGAGCTGACTCCTATGAATTTGTTATCTTGTAAGTCCATGTGCGCTGGGCATAGTTATACGTGACACAAAAGTAAAAACTAAAGTCATTCATTATATCCATAACACGATTTTAAAATTACTTATGCCTGCCTGTGTGAAAGAGAGTTTTATCCAGATTGAACACTTGTATATAGCACTAGACGAGACATTATTCAGTCTGCATTTACCTGAACAGAGCAGTTGGTGAAAACTAGTGTGCAGGATGGCAGCAGGACAGCCAGAGAGCGACGCAAACTTGGAATGGGATCGTTCATATCTGGTGTCTTGTTCTCATCATTGCTATTATCTCCACCTTCAGCCTCCTCATTGCCCTGCTCTTCTCCTCCACCACCTCCACCACCCTCCCCCTCCACCACTGGTGGACACTGCCGAGGCTGGAAGATCACGTCCAAAAACTCCAGCCGCCGGAGCCCGCGGAGCATCCTGCAGCTCCGCACTATCTGCATCTTGCTGAGCGTGCAGGCCCACAGGCACAGACACTTCAGGTCCTTCAGACGGCTGGCACAGAGCAAGCCTGGACCCACCTCCTTACCACCCAGACGCAGCTCCTCCAGTCCGAGCCATCCTGTCCCTAGACCGAGGGAGGCCATCTGTAGCTGGTAACCTTGTCGCCCAGTGATGCCTATTTCTAGAAACTTGAGTCTGGAAAGGCCCTCGACACCACAGGCGCCGTCCTTGGCAGCACAGCTCCTGAGCCCGTTAGCTGTCACGCGAAAGGTGTCACGCAGCTCCAGGCGAGTGAGCCTCTCCCATGATGTCAGACTCTGCAGATGCTGGTCTGTGAAAGAGGGCACGCTGTTAAGGACTAACCTCTCAATACCAATTCCTGATGGAGAGCCAACACCTTTTCCTTTCTGATCCCTTCTTTGCTGTTGTGCACCAACACTGGATGTGGCTTCTGCTCCTTCTTGGGAAGCAGCAGCCGAAGTAGGAGTCTGGTTGAAAAATTCTTTGGGCAGCTCACAGCCACGCAGCTCCAGCACCTGCAAAGATGGAGGTAGGAGCTGGCAACTGGGCAGGCCTCTCAGGTCTGCATGCAGAAGATAGAGCTTACTCAGGCGAGGACACTTTGTGGACAAAGCTTTGAGCCAAGATTCAGAGAGGAAGGTGCCGCCACGGGCAGAAAGCAGCAAACCACGCAACCGTAGGCACCTTAGTCCGCAACCCAGGTACTGACGCAGCAGGAGCCAAAGTATGCGGGAAGTCACCTAACAGACATTAGGACAGTCCATGACATGTGCATGTTGTAGATGGGGGGATGGGAGGTAAAAGAGAGACGGTTTCTGTCAATAGCTGCACACACACACACACACACACACACACACACACACACCCACACACACACACGCACAACCCATATGTAATAGAATTTACTTTCAACAGAGACTTACGGCAAGACAAGTTTATTAGTAGAACACATTTCAATTCAATTCAAAGAACTTCAACAATAAACATTGAAAGGGAAATACAGCATACAACAAGTGCTAATTAATAATTTTAAAAAAGGATGAATTATTGAAATAAGTAGTAGATAATTAAATGTGCAAGGTGGATGATGATGAGTGCTAAAGAACAAAGTTTTTCATATGGACTTCTAGATAGTCAAAGTCAAGAAAAGTCTTGTTTCTTCTGGAAGTTTGTTATGTAGAGCATAGTAACTAAATGCTGGGTGTCCATGCTTATTCTGGACTCTGGGAACAGTCAGCAGACTGACACACTGCTGAGCCAATACAGAGCCTTAATTGTTGAGTAATGTGTTCAGTACTCTTCATTTTTGTAAGGACTCTTTTACTGTTCAAACCATGACAATTTTCAATTACATGGCTCCTCAGAATCCTGAAATATGTCTGTGTACAGATCATCATTTCAAGATCTCACACATTTTTTTTTTAACTTTGTCTCAAACACCTCGAGGAGCACATATGTTTTTTTTAAAGATCAGAGAAGAGACCTGCTGCACATGAAGACATAGATTAGTTATTCTAATGGACAAGAATCTATTGATTGTTCTATGTTTTTTGCTGAATATGTCAATGATTTGACGTGACTGACAAGGTTTAAGCCTGAGTTCCTGTTTACAGCAATATTCCTGACTTTATTTTCGAGCTGGGTATTGATCGCTGGCTCTCAGCCTTTCTTCTTTACTGCCAAATAAAGTGGTAAAGTCAATGCTACCGGAACAAGCCTTACTGGTACATAAGGCTTTCTTGTATTAGCACTTCTACTTATTGTACTGATATTTGATCAGATTGGGTTTATTGTGGATGAAATAAACACATTTGAAAGAAAAGAGGTGAAGCCACATTGAAAGTAACATCCTTACCCCTTTCCAAGCAGTCAGATCGACAAGTCTCCACAGTCTTTGGTCTTTGACAAGGCGTTTCCATCTCTTACACACTCTAGAAAACACCGTAAAATACAACATATAACTTAATCATGTGACATGAGTCACAACAAAGGCAGAGCTGGTGCTGACTCTTGTTTCACAAGACGAATAACTGGTCAAATACAGTCTGCAAAGTTACATTCCCCTTACCTTCCGGCCCTGACGAGCTCCCGTACGCTCAAATACGACAACACGTCAATTAAAATGATTTCGGGAAAGTAATCCAGATTACAGGCTTTAAATTCATCCATTTTGTAAACAAAACTCTTTAAACATTGGACACGGACTGATATCCCGACGTACACGGGTTGCGCTCACATCAGCAATCCCCAGGAAACAGCAGGTACATCGACTGTACCTAGCGGCAATTCACAGATTCAATCAGATATGCTCCTCTGAGTTCAACATGACGAGTCGCGGTTGAACCCCGTCGTGTTTTGCTGATAACACCTGGTACATTAATGACAGTCATTAAGCGGTAGAGCCGATCTGAAAACCTCCCGGTGAAGCGACGTCGCCACCTAACGTCCGCTAGGTGAACAGGCCAGTGCGCTTGCGCGGTTCACCGGACAAGATGGCGACCAGCAATGGTGGAGGAATGGAGGTGGATGGGGCAGGCGAGTATTTCTCACTTATCTCGTAATTTGTGCCTGATATCTCTATGAGTCGGTGTGCAGACTGTAGCTTGTGTTGTATATTGGTGCTGTGAGTGGTGGTTAGTGGTGAATTAGTGGTGTTAAAGGCGGTCGGTAGCGGGGTTGCTGACATAAGCGGGTTAACGTACACGGCTGTGCTGTAAAGCTGTCAACTAAAATCATCTCTTTGGTTGATTCAGTCCGTCTTTACCCTCTGCTCTCACACTGGAGTTTGCACCAGGAATGTAAACCTTAGTCCACCCGCACAGGAGGGGGTTTGAGGAGAGCCCACTACCTGTAACAACCATCTGAATTAGGGCTGGTCGTGTGGATGACCGGCCTGTCTGTGTCGTTCAGTATTTAGACTTTAAATAGATATCTTTGTGTAGGGTTGTGCTGAGTATTGTGTTAGAGATACATTATCCCAGCAGTAGGTCATTGAACAGCTCTCACTATAGCTATAGATAAAGGTTTTATTTTTAGTTTTACTGTTAGTATTATAAGTTATAAGAGCTCAGCTTTGAACGCACCACTGACTGCCCTCATGTCACATTACCAAATGTTTGTGGTTGTAAGTTGAACCTGAGTGAAACTGGATTTTTTTTTAAAGACCGGGGTCGATATTTGAGAGTAAAAACCCTCTGATAACAATATATGACAAATGTATTTTAACAGTTGCATCCCATAAACTTTGTTTTTTATAATGCCAGTACAATATATCTGTAATACGCTAATATCTGCCTCTATTGTTTTTATATTGGATCGTCTTCATACACACGTCACTGAATCCCTACTGCAAATGTTTGTGGTTGTAGTTTGTATCAGTAAATTGTGAAAACATGCATTAAAAACCCAAATTTATGTTCAACCAATAATCCAAACTCTAAGTTATTCAACTTCTAAAACAGAAAGGCTGATACATTTTTATGTCAAGCCATCCAATCCATTAATCAGCTTCTCCGCACTGCTGTAGTTGCTGTCGTGTTAAAGCCCCTCTTGTTTGTTTCTCTGTGTGTCTGTAGCCAGCCCCAGTGTTATGGCCTCGGGGGTCACCGGGAGCGTCTCCGTGGCCCTACACCCTCTCGTTATCCTCAACATATCCGACCACTGGATTCGCATCCGCTCACAAGAGGGTCGACCAATGCAGGGTATGTATGTCAACAACAACATGCAAGAAAGATGGCATATGAACAGTAATGTAGTTGTTCTGTAACTGGGTGTCATTTTTATTTCTGTGTGTTTTCTTTTTCCTGCTCAGTGATTGGAGCCCTCATCGGGAAGCAGGAGGGGAGAAACATCGAGGTGATGAACTCCTTTGAGCTGCTGTCTCACACCATAGACGAGCGAGTGCATATTGACAAGGAGTATTACTACACCAAGGAGGAACAATGTGAGTGGTTTGTATGTGTGAAGAATCTATTCATGCTTCTCCTTTCGTGACAATCTTTTATGAAATGCAGTGCAGCTAGTGATTCCCTCGGAAGGCCTGGCAAAACCAGCATCTGTGAGATCAATTCTTAAAAGTCCAGTGTGTAACATTTATTTATATTGACAGAAATGGAATGTGATATTCATTGGTATGTTTTAATCAGTGTATTATCAGCTGAAAATAAGAATCGCTGTGTTTTTGTTACCTTAGAATGAACCGCTTATATCTACAGGCGCTGCTGGTCGCCTTCCGTGGAGTCCGACATGTTGAACTGCCATGTTTCTACAATAGCCCAGTAGGGACAAACCAAACACTGGCACTAGATAGGGTTGTTAGCGTTTTTTTCGTGTTTTGCGGCCACTGTCAATCCTACACACTGGACCTTTTTAAAAGGTTACTGTATACTAAGTTCACTTGCCACTAGATGTTGCACTAGAGCACTAATATCTCCAACCAAAACAATGGGGCAGAAACTAAATACAACTCACCAAAACCGACTTTGCTGGTCTTTCAAATAATCCCCACTGCCACTTTGGTAAAAGTTAACCCTTGATTCATTGAATTAGATGTGAAAATGTTTGTGAAAAGGGCTGCAGTGTAAGATAACTGCAACCATTAAAGTTTGTCCACTAACAGTGCTTGTTTTTGCCGCTGACAGCCACAGATTGTGATTGTGTGTTAGTGCCTGACAACATTATGGAAAGGATACCGACAGAGATAGACCTGAACCAGAAACAGCCATAATATCAGTATCGTTATTGCTTTCAACCAGACTCCATAGACAAAATTTTACCTCGTAAATCAGCAGTTCCAGTTGCACACGGAGCAGACCGGCTGTGTAAACAAACCATAGAGAGGCTGTGATAGTAATACAGGCAAAGGGTGAGTCATCATTCTCTGCTCAGGACACCATGACTCCACTATATCCACAAAGTCCTTTTTAAAGAAACATCAATAAAGTGATAGCGACATTCATATTAGTTATTACACAAAGTCAGGTGCTTTCTGTAGTTTGACTATAATATTTCTTTTTGTCTCTCAGTCAAACAGGTCTTCAAAGAAATGGAGTTCCTGGGCTGGTACACCACAGGCGGCCCTCCTGACCAATCAGATATCCATATTCACAAGCAGGTAGGCAAACGTTTAAGGTGTAAGTTGAACATCCTTAACTTCTCTTAGATACTCAATGAGTCAGACAGCTCAGTAGGTAGAGTATATAGGTATATAGTATAGGATGGGTCACTGCAGAGGACAACTTTCAGTTCAATGTAAAATTCCTGAGACTGCGATAATAAAGGCTGAAAGATTTATATTCAGTTCAAGTAAATAACAGAGCAGTAGCATTAATATTGTAGAGATTCAGATTCTATGTTTTGTTGCAGATCCATGTTCAGCCAATACAGAAATAAGACTTTTATTGTGATGTTGGTAATAAAAGTAAAATCATCTGAAAGTTCTTTCTGATACATTTTCTTACTGTTATTTTCGTCCTCTCTGCCAGGTGTGTGAGATTATTGAGAGCCCTCTCTTCCTCAAGCTCAACCCAATGACCAAACACACTGATGTAAGTTCCTCTGCTGTTTCACTTCAAGAATGAGAAAATACCATAGTGGTATATTTAGAAAAAAGCTGCTTAAACTATTTGTCCTTTTCTCCTCCAGCTTCCTGTTAGTGTTTATGAATCTGTGATTGACATCATAAATGGCGAGGTACCCTTTTATATTTCATATTATCTACACATTTGTTCCCGCAGCAGTGAACTAGGTTCCCATAGAAAAGTTTTATCTGATATATTTATTTGTTTTTTTTAAATAGGCTACCATGTTGTTTGCTGAGCTGACGTACACTCTGGCCACAGAGGAAGCGGAGAGAATCGGTGTTGACCATGTCGCTCGAATGACTGCCACCGGCACTGGAGAAAACTCAACAGGTAAAAGAGGCGGTCTTTAATGATCTTTCCTGCAGCACAGTGAGAGAGTTCACATACACGCCAATGTTCTGTTAGCTGTAAACCATTTACACTCATGTATTGTTCTTAAGGTTGCTTTTATAATCATTGTTTATTTAACACTAACCCATAAAAGACGTTATCTCAGCTCTTATCTTAAACCTATGATAAATGCAAATTAAAAGGGTATTCCAGTTTTTTACAGTGAGTTCAGTTTCAGTAGCAGTGCTGTGACTACTTTGTACTGTATATTTGTGAGTAGAACAGGGTCTCCTTGAAAAGGCTAAATAATCTGAATTTTAGGTTTTAAAATCTTAAATATGATTTTGACAGTTCTTATATGATACTTGTATAGAGTTGCATTTTGTGTGCCTTTGGGGTAAAACCATTGTATTGTATAAATCATGCTGTAATAATTAAACAAAAGGAAACCGGCATGGAATCAAAACAGATTTTCCTTCATATCCGTTGCACTTTTTGTGGCAGGATGGACGTAAAATAGGTCTTTGAATTGTATTCATTTTCATATTAGTGTTAAATTTAACCTGTTGAAACCTGCAGAGCCCTGGTAGAATATCAGATAGACCTAACAAAAACAACCAAGATTGATATTGATCAGAGAAAAAATATGAAACTCTCCGAAGTGAATGGAAGTCTTACTTTATATTTCAGAATTATGTTTACAAGCTCTTTTATCCATTTCTCATGCCTTATTAGGATAACAGATCTGTTGTGTGCCACATATTAATGTGTATTAATATTGATTACATTATTAAGTTATAATTAAATTGTGTGTCGAAATGTAAAAGCAATTGAATTCTTCTAATATTCTAATAATAGTGATAAAACATTGAAAAATAAACACCCATATGCAAACAGCTTACATACACACATAAGACACCAAATTTAATTCATTCTTAAAGTAAGATGGTTATGGTGTAAACTTCAGGCTGAATTCTCTATCATCTCTATCAAAAGGTTTTAACTCCAGTATTCTCTCCGTGTTCTCTGTTAGTTGCCGAACATCTCATAGTCCAGCACAGTGCGATAAAGATGCTCCACAGTCGGGTGAAGATCATTCTAGAGTACGTCAAGGCCGTGGAAGCAGGTGAGAGGACGACGTTTAATGAGGCCGCGAGAGCAAAGAATGTGAAAATAAGTCTGGAACAGCTGTCTTTAAATAAGATGTTTACTTTCCTCACTTTTGCACCATTAAGGCAGGCCCCCTCCAACACACCTCTATAATTACATGCGCCTGTTTGATACTGTCTTGACAGCTTCATCTC